CCTATAAATAGAGCTGAATTTCACTCATTTCATCACACCTTTCCATTTCATTCTCTCCTAACTCCTCCTTCCCTAAGGTCCGTAGGCCTTTTCTCTAGCACTTCCTAGGTATTAGTGGCAAAGCTCCGGAGCGTCAGAAAGCTCCGAGAAGTAGATCTTTCGGCTTAGAAGCTCTGTCCGTTCACAATACGGTTTCTCGCTAAACCACATGTAATTTGAGTTATGCTTACCGTACTTTAAGTATAACTTATGTTTAAGTTCATTATCGTTATTTTGAACCTATACACAAGATTTATCAGTGATTCCAAGTCGTTATACTGATTGATCTACTTACGGGGATGATGTCTAGGCTAGATTTAGTGAGGCGTTTAAAGTGGGATCTCTAAACAGTATACTTAGTATACCAAACAGACCCTACCTTTGATATGATCCTACCTGGTTGTTTGATAGATCTTGAAGTAGACTTTGAATAATTAGTCGCAATATATTTTAGACTAAAACTTTGTGATAATGATAATAGGTTTCGTCAAATGAAAAGACAGTTGCTAGAAGCGAAGCGCTATCCAAATTTTGAATCGTCACTTTAACAATTGAGTGCATAGTTACTTTCATCTTACACATAGATATGAAGTATTTAATATAAATACATGCTATATGTGCCTATTATCTGTGTTCATGATATTTTCGCTAGATGAACGATTTATATATGTTTTACTTGATTTAAACTGTATATGTATTTTTATACCTATAAATATATTGGGTAAAGATGGGTAGATGAAAGACGATATAGATGATGATAGATGAAAGATGATATAGACGATGAGAGATGAAAGGGGAAATAGATGATGAGAGGCCTTGACTTTAAATATGACGTCATCTAGAAATGTATAGATGACAACCACGAACTATTCTAGACAGTCTAGTGGAACGCTAGTAGGCTCACAACCTGTAGGTGTTTTTGAACTACTTGTTCACCAGATGTACTCAAATAAAGAAAACCCTGGCAGTTATGGACTTAGTGTCTTATAAATGAACATTGGCAGCTATGGACTTAGTGCCTAGTAGATAACATTTAATGTCTAGTAGATAACATTGGCAGCTGTGCCTAATAGATAACAATAACATCTATGGACTTAGTGCCTGTTAGATAAACTCTGGCTGCGATGGACTTCGTGCCTATACTTTAGGACAAATCCTTAGGAATGAATATTGAAGAATACCTACTGACAAGTAGTATGTAGGAATCCCTGGACTAGGGTACTGTCAGCATAGATTATCCTTAGGGTAGATCCATAAGAATAAAGAAGATAATGGGGATGAGAAATTGGGTTAATTGTTTGATGATTAAACATATTAATTATATTATTGTGGGTTGAAAATCATATGTACTCACCAGGTTTTTCAACCTGACCCACTCACTTTATTGTATCACAAGTAGCGATATTAAAGATACATTCTGCAGAGAGATTCAATGAGTATTAGGCCTCTAGTTTAATTATTGTAAGACTTGTAATATTTCGTTATGCTTATGTTTCTGTATTGACGATGACATCCCAATATTTTAATATAAATAAAATACATTCCTTCGGAAATGCTTTGATATATCATTATTAATTTATTATGTTTTCTGGGAACAAATTCCACAATGTTATTACTCAAAAAAGACACTCTGATTTTTAAACAAGTATAAACGAATCGGTTTTTCTGGCCGTAAAATTAGGGATGCCGCATTTTAGTTGTTAGTTTTAGTCTATTTTTTTTAGACATTTTTAGTTTAATTTTATCTAATAGTTATAAGTTAAATATAATATTTAATACTTGTAGTATCCTGTTATATATATATATATATATATATATATATATATATATATATATATATATATATATATATATATATATATATATTATATTAATTAATCATAAATGTAAAGTTTATTTTTTATGTATCGAATTCATATAAAAGTTAAAATACATATTAAAATTTTGAAACACGGTAACATATTTTATAAAACTTTTATATAAAACATATCTTACAAATATGATGACATATGTTAATAAACATGCAGTTAAGTAGTTAAACTATATACTAGAATAATAATCTAATAAACACCGAGGGTTCATCACATTCTTGGTAAAAGGAAATAATACATGAAATAATGACTACATGCATTGTTTTATGTAATATGATTATTTGGGATGAACATGATGTTGACACACCAATTGAAGTTGCAAGAGAATTGTCACCAATAGAGGTCGAAATAAAATTGGATGGAGACATTTAGTTTTAATAAATTTTTTCTCGATATACACATATTAATGATAAAGAAGTTCATTTCAGTCTATGAAATACATTAGTTGATCACTTATGAGAAATGTACTCCAACGCATAAATATGTTTTTTTTTCAATAAATTCATAATTAATTCAAATTCTTTTTGTACGAACAATTTATTTTGTCATAGTTTTTGAATAACATAATTTATAATATTATTGTAATGAAATAAAAATAGATAATATTTTTGTTAAAAGCTCATTGGTAGAATGGGTGTTTTTTTTATAATATATGTAAGTTACAAGAATATAACATACTTTTTGGATAAAATTAGGGTAAAAATAGAATATGGTTGAAGATGAAATACTATATATCTTATTTTTTTTTACTTTATTTTTGGGGGGAAATTTGAGGTGAGTTCGAGATGGTCTAAGGACAATTATTGAAACTCTTGCATTCTTGGTCTATGTGATTATATTTTCTTGTTCGTCTGGTCCTTTTATCCTGAAAAAAAAACATTTTTACCCTTTTTATTTTATTTTGACATTTTTATGTATTTTCTTGAAAAAGGAAACTAAATTAAACACTTATTGGGATTTTTAGGTTACAATTACATTGTAAATGCGAAATTTCACTTAACTCTTAAGGGTACATGCAACCGAAATGAATCTAAGTCTTTTTATAATTAATAACAACATACTTATGAAACAAAACTATGACTCTATGATAATCGAAATCAAGAGCATGATACATACCTTTGAGAATAATTGGAATTAAGCTAATCAAATACTTGAAGTCTCATTGGAAAACCTACCTCCAAAAGTATGGTAGCTTCTAATGCGTCACACCCAAAAGTATGATGGCTTCTAATGGTAGCTTTTAATAGGAGAGAAGGGAGAAGGGAGAAATGTGGATTTCTCTATGTGTAGGAGTATAAGCCGAAAATTCAAGGGCGTGCCCTTTTATATAACTGCCAGATAATCCCAGAAACTCTAGATTTGAATTCAAAATAATAATATTTTAATCCGGTAATTATCTAGTTTCCTTTTATCATTTGGAGGGTTTTAAAAACCCTATTTAGGGCACCAAAACCGTCTCCCTCATAGGGAGGTTCTAGATACTATCTATTGTTCAACTACTGAACAATTACAGCTCAACACGTGTACATTTAATTAATTCTAATTCATCCAGAAATAATTCCAAATTAATTCTGATTATTTCTTAATTAATTATTACTATTTCTAATTAATATATTAATTATATAGTATATTAACAAATCATTTATCACTCTCTTATAATCAATCCAAGCCATTTCTTGGTTATGATGGTAACCCAAAAAGGACTTTACTTTTATTCTTCAACATTATACCAATTTAGTTAGTACCTTAGACACCTTAATCCAACAACACTACCCTACCCCGCCCCACCTTCCTCCTTCTCCTTCATTCAATCACCATTAGTCACCACCATGGCCACGCCACTGCCACTGTTGCTGCTGTAAAATCATTGTTTCACACACACGTATATACCTTCTTGATTTCAAACCCATAACACACAAAAACACGATTTTAGATTAAATAATTATCGATGAAGATTATAAGGAGGGGATCAAAAGAACAACTTGATTTCAAACACACTATTGTTGTCACCAACATCAACCACCATCGCCATGACAACATTTAGCCACCACCTCTACCTGTACACCGTATTCACCACTACACTCAACCAATTCAAACTCCATCATGCCTCAAACACTACTATCTTTATCCATCAAACGATAACAAAAACTATCGTTGCACCTGCCGAAATAATCCCACAAATCAAATTTAGTTTTCATGTTCAACCTCGCCAACAAAATAATTCTAAGAAATTGAAATCATTTTTCAAGTTCAATCTCACATGTACTCAACGAGAGTTCAAAGGAAAGATTCATCCCCACATCGGTTTGTCATCCATGGATTCACTAATCATCAAGCGCCTAAAGAGACGACCTAGGAATGGACCTTTAGCAGTATACCAGATCAATAGAATGATTCAACTCAATTCATCTTCATCTATGTACCTGTAAGAACGTGTCAAACACAAGTTATTTGTTTCACCGACTATATGTTGCGGTTCTTTTTGGAGTATTTTTATTATCAACACTTAACCCACATGTCCGATGGCGATGTTGGTCAACGAAGATCTTGAGCCAACGCCGGAGGTGGTCTCCAACCACCATGGTACTTGTCTGGTGGTGTTTATCTTGGAAAGGAAGAAGGACAGAAACTAGTTTTTGGGGTACGGGTGTATGGTGGGGGTGGATGATAGTTTTTTTTTTTTTAATCAAATAAAGTCATACCATATAAAAATATAAAACAAAATAAAAAGGCAAAAAAAAAAAAAAAAAGGTCTTTTTATATGGAAAAAATATCGTTCGGGCATGTTTTAGAAACCGGATTAATTTTACAATTGTGGTGACTACGTATGTTTTGGAAAACAACATGACCAATTGAGTAATTTTGTCAAGTTTCTACCGAACTTTTGCTGATATTTAATTTTTTATTATTATTTCGACTCGTACCATGGTAGTAAAGTTAAGTGAGTTTGGGATTCAAGTACTTCAATTTACAAATTTAACCTTCAATTTTACATAATCCCAAAAAGTCACCCTCTCCTTTTTCCTAATTTATCAAACTCGTTTCAATGCCTCAACATGCTCTCACCATTTCTCTGTGAATCTTTCAAAAATGGCGATAGAACTCTTCTCTGAAAATTCCGGCACCGGTGGCGGTGGCAACATGACAATGAGCCCTCGAATCTCATTCTCTCATGATCTCTCTCAATCCGACACAGTCCCCGTCGAACAACTTCTCCGATCATTCTCCTCCTCCTCCTCCACCGTCGATTTCAATTTCTGCGTTCAACAAAATCCCAATACCCACCATGCTTCCATGGCCGACGAGCTTTTCTCGAACGGAAAAATCATCCCAACCCAAATCAAACACCACCCACCACCACCACCACCATCATCATCATTACCACCACAATCACCAGCTTCAAACTACAACCCGCTGCCGGCGGTGGAAGAGGAACAACATAATTCATCGAAATCGTTTTGGGGATTTAAGAGAAGCAGTAGCTGTGGCAATGGATATGCTCGGAGTTTATGCCCGATTCCATTGTTATCTCGGAGCAATTCCGCCGGATCATCAACAAGTACAAAACGATCATCGTCTTCAAAAGAAGGTTCTACTCATAAACACCCTCATAATTCACAGAAACCTCCATTAAGGAAAACGAGTTATAGCTATGGGAACAATAGTAGCTCCAGTAATGGAGTTCGGGTCAATCCGGTTCTGAATTTGGGATTCGGATCTTTCTTCTCTAGTGGCAAGAAAAAGTAACCAAATTTTCAACCATCCTAAGTTCCCTTTTGATTGCAAAAAGATTATTGGTTTCTTAAAAATACATTGGATTTGTTTAATTGAATCTATAATAACTCATAAAAACCATGGTATGTTTTTATTGATTTTGTTGAAAACTTGGATGGTTTGAAATAATTTGTAAAAAGAATGTCTTTTTTTTCATGTGGATTTTAAAGGCTTTGAGCTTTTAGAAGTAATGATTGGATTAGTTGTTAATTAGTTTTGGATTATGTATAAGTGTACGGATTAAATTAGAGTTAATTGGATGAAAAGACAGCACATTTGAGACCAAATGAAGGTTCCTTTTTCATGGAATTGGAGAGCATGTTCACATGCATTTGGGCTGTTTTCTTGATTAGAAAAGGCAAGACTTGCTTTCATGGGGTTGTTGTGTTTAGGTGTCATTTGGATGTATATGTTCAAAATTGTGTGATGTGGATTGGGTTTGGTTTGATTTTTTTTTTAATTTGTGTTTTTTTCTTGATGACAATGTAATCCAGTTTGTGGGGTTTTAGGGAATTTTGTTGTATGGTTTATTATTGTTGATGTGACGGCTTTGATTGATAAAAGTTTGGTTTCATTATGATAAGCGTTATTGATTTATTTGAATCTATTAAGTATTGAATTGAATTTGGATGGGGTTTATTGTTGGTTTAAATGACACAACAGTTTACATTAGATATCACATGTTAGGCTATACGGTATGGTGTTAACGCATCACATGTTAGGCTATACGGGATGCCTTAAAACATTATCGTGTAGTACCCCCTTCATATGTTATGTGCATGTGGTCAGGATGTTACTCGGTTAACATTTTATAACGTCAATGTCTTTATCCATTTCTTTCTCTCTCGATTATTCCTATTTAATATTATTTTTATTCTAAAAAATTAAGAGCCTATTGGATGGTGTTGAGTATTTTCTAGGATTAATGATAGGAAAGTGGTGTTGATGTGACATAATTTTTTATGTTATGGTGGTAGAGGTATACCATATAGCCTTAGGCTTGTGGTATAACTCACCATGCCAACGGCGTGGTGATGAGGTAGACAATCATTGTGGCATGAACACCGTCCCCAAAGGACGTAGAAGGCATGTGGTGTGACTGTCATGGCTAAAGCCAAGACGAAATCTCCATCTCTCATAAAATTCATATTTTAAGGTAAGATGGTCGATATTTCGTAAGCAAGTGGTGTAGAAGTTGTTATGAAGTGGCGCTGAGGTGACAACAATTTATGTTGTCTAGACGTAGGTATACCTATAGGCCTTACGATAGTTTGGGACAAATGAAAAGTAAAGATGCTCCCTCAAGGATAGAACATTACAACTTTTTCAGATCTATAATACATATGGATTTTGAACCAAACACCTTCATTATAGAATTCATTTCTTATCATCCGGCTGCTTTGGGATATAGGTTGGTGGTATAAGTGAATAATGCTTCTTTGCAATATAAAAGAGATTGTAAATGATTCGAACGAACATGAACAATAGCTTATTCATGCTCATTCAGATAAGTAACTGAAGAAATAAGTGAGCACTGTAACACCCAAAAAAAATCTAACTTTAAAATGTTATGGTTTAAAAAACATTCGAGTGTTAACCCACATTTAACAAAAAACAATCTCACAAAAATATTTGGTGTTACTATTAAGCATCAATACAATCATAGCAAGCAAATAAGAATTACATCAATACAATTAACAAGGAACTTAACAAGTTTCACTCCATTCTCTGTCACTTGACTTCTAACTTCCATATATCATCCTCTCCCCTTAAGTATAACCTGAGATACATGGCATTAAAAAGAGATACGTAAGAAAATAATATATCGTGAGCTATGCGGGTTTGTGACCCAAAACGTTCATCGCATTTTCATCAAAAACATTTTATTTTTGCAAAATATATCTTTTCAAGCATTTTCAAGGAAAACTCTTTTCACACATATCATAAATATCATTTCATATATTACCATTTCATTTCAAAAGATATATTTCCACATTTTATTCTATATCATAACATTTCATTAGTCATAACGTAATTCAAGACATTTCTTTTCACATTTCATTCTTTATTTCATTAAGGGCTAATTCTATTGTTGAAACGTTGTCATTTTTATACTTAGGACCTACCAATATCCCCAAGTTTATACTAATGTGGAAAGAAAAAAACCAGCCCACCAAGGCATCATTTCCGTTGGGACATCTATTTCGCGAAGGGGAGACACTACCCCAATAGATTCCTCTATATCCCGTTACGGTGACATCATGGCTCGAGCAATATATTCATTTCATTACTTTCCAATTCATTTCATTACTTTCCATTTATTGTCATTACTTTCCATACTTTACACATTTCATACATTAGTATCAAAAACTCATTTCAAAAGTAAAGCATCTATATTTCAAAACATTTCAAACACATTTTCAAAACATTTTATCTTCTAAAACATTCTTTGCTTTCAAAAACATTATTGCCTTCAAGGCATTCTTTCAAAATATCATTTCCAAAAACATTCGACACTTTCATTTCAAAATATTTCATATATCAAACATTAGTGTTTCATTATCATAAGATCATTTTGCCATGTACCCCAAAGTGGAAAAATGCCAACACATACTCACCTAGTTTTCCAATGAATGTTGCTACTCCCTTCTAGCTAAACTTCACTAGTAACCTGAAACATCCCAGAAATGTTGTGACAACCCGAAATTTCTATTCTGTACAACCATTCAATTCAATATAAGTCAGAACAGTTTCTGCTAACTTTCAAGCTTTTTGGAATAAGTTTGAGTGTTTTAAAGTTAGTACTTCAGGAAATAACAGGAGAGAGGATTCCCTAGGGTTTATTGTGCACCAATAAAGTTCCAAAACTCCAAGAGTTTGGAGTTTACGGCCTAAACAAGGTGTTTACGGCCGTAAACCCCAAGGGGTATAAATATGGCACTTAGCCATTTTATTCACTTTTTCACATTTTCAAGAACCAAGACTCAAATCCTCTCAAGTATCATCCGATTTTCCTTCTTGATCTTCAACTATGTAAGTGTTTCTTGCCCTAAAAAGTTGATATCTTACTTAATCTAGTGATCTTACGTGATTCCATCCGTGAAATCATTCCATTTGTGTAGATCTTCAAGTGTTCTTAGTTTCACCAAGAACACCAAGAACACACACTAGTGTTCTTGGACTTTTAGCACCTTTTCAAGCTTCTACCTAGTAAGTACTCTTACCCTAGCGTGTTATAAGGCTTGTTACACTTCATAATCATCTAGAAAACACCAAGAATCAAAGGATCAAAGGTGTTTAAGGTCCAAGAACACCTTGGACCGTAAACCCTAAAAAGGGTGCCAAAGTGTGCCCTAGTCCCTTACCAAGCCTTGGAAACTAGCCTAGACCCCTTCCTTGATGTGCTTAGTACTTGAAAACATCAAAATACCATAAACCATTTGGGTTTACGGCCGTAAACCCAAAGAGAAGTGGTCCAAGGACCGTAAACTCCCTAAAGGAGTGAAATGGTGCCCTAATCTCTTCCTAAGGCTTAAACATGAAGTAGGAATGCTTCTTATGATCTTAATGGCTTCAAAACACAAAATGGTCAAGTACCATGAGTTTACGGCCGTAAACTCATGGGTTTACGACCGTAAACTCAAGGGGTTATGGTCACAAAACCGTAAACTCCAAGAAAGTTTACCCTTGAACCCTAAACTCAATAGCAATGTCCTACAACACTTAGAAGCAATCCTTAGCACCTATAACACTTAAATAAGGTGTTTTACATGTCCTAGGATGTCTTAACTTTGTTAATTAGTTGTTTAAAGACTAATTGGATACATATATGTGTTATTATATGTTAACTAGGATCATTGTATGTGTGCAAGTCTTCACTTGACACCTAGCATCCTATACATTCCGTTCATCCAAACCACTCACTACAGGTGAGTTCATACCCCTTAATTAACCTTTTAAATGTTTTTAAATGCTTTTATGGGGGGGGGGGGAATACAAGTTGAACAATTATAGTTATTATATCAATCACATGTGATTAATAACTACCAAACAAGTGGATTTCTTACTTTTCAAACTGTGTTACCAAACTGTTTTACTTCAAACTATTTTATAAACTCTTTTTCATATCAAATACTTTTATTAAACTCTTTTAACTTATATTCTGTGTATCTATATAGATATAGTTATATAAGTAGGATTGAAAGGACTTAGGACTGATAGCTCACCTTACTTCCAGTTCCTTGTTTGGTTGTGGACTTAGGGTATTCGGGTTATTTGTCCGAAGGTCGTTTGAATCCTAGTTATATATTATGTATATGTATATAGATATAAAAGTTCCTTCTTTCATTCAGTTCAATACCTTTGGGTAGCAAAGGTATACGCAAACATGTTTATACATTCAGACAACATTACTAGTAAACTATAATAGGTATAGTTTAGGGAGATACTAATACTATTACTAGAACAGTGAAACATACAATGAGTCAGTTCATACATGAGTCAATAACAAACAAACAATAGATACTATGATGAGAAACAAACAATCGATACTATGATGAGAAACAAACAATAGAATACTATGATGAGAAACAAACAATACATGCTAGACAGGGAGAGAACACACAAATACAGCTAGCACATACATATCCTAGAACATTATTACATTTATGTGAGCCACGTAACGGGGCATGGCACTACCTGTCATGACCGTTTTGTATCCAGAATCTCCTTTAGTGGGGAGCGTATGAGTTTGTGTATAGATCTATACCGGATTGACTATCCTACACCTTGCTGCTCGCTACAGTGGGACTTGCAAGTCTACGGGTGCCAAACGTCATTTCTTACGACGTCTTACATCGTCGTTTTTCTATGAGTCGGTAGCAGGATACAGGCCGATCACATGTTACTTTAAATAACAATTGGTTTAAAGTAGTTAGTACAGTAGTAGTTACTTAATACAACACTACAGTACT